TATGACGCGGAGGGAGGCCATGGCAACCCAACCCTGAATGCCTCTTCCCCCGAAAACCCTGCAGGTTGCCGTAAGTCGGCTGTGACTCAACAGCACTTCCCACCAACACTATTCTACTCTAGTGTTACTCTAGTCTTCCCTCTACAGCCACGGTTTCCTCTCTCTCGGCACTGCTGTGAGAGGAGCGGGAAGGCATCAGCATACCTCGAGGCCGGTGGGATGGGGGAAGCTCCCTGGCCCCAGGACTTCCGGTGGGTCCCACTGTCACGGACCAGCCTGGCCATGTGTCGCCCCCCCCCCCCCCCCCTCCCCCCCACACGCAACAGCCCCCCCCGCTGCCCACGCACAAGCTTGACCGCACCCTCGCCCTCCATGCTCCCTCTAAGCTGCGGAGTCTCGTGAGCAAAAATTCTACTTTGGGAGCCACCGGCATTAAAGCTGTGAGCGAGCGATTTGGCGACTACGTAAATTAGTCTGCTCTGGAGCCCTCCGCCCGGAGCTAAGACAAAAATGTGTGATCCAGAGGCAAAAAAAACCCCCTTGAGCTAGCTCACAGTAACTCAGCTTAGAGGGAACAGTGGCCCAGAGGACCCCAAAATAGGGAACTGGCCTTGGGGGGGGGGGAATGCAGTGCTTGATGGGAGAGGTGAAGCTGTGCGAGAACAAGGAGGCAACCCACCCCCCAAGGCTTTGAATCTCACTCCTTTTCACTTTCTGAACTGCCCTACAAGCCCCGTCAAGCACACCTAGGTCCTCCCAGTTCTATTCCATTAACCATAGAGTTGGGAGGACCTAGAAGGCCACTTGGCACGCTTAGCTGCTAAGGATGTTGAGAAACCATCAAAACCATCAGAACTGCCTCCAGGACAACTGCATCCAAGTGGAAAGACAGCCACCCTCCAACCAATCTCACAATACAAGAACTCGTGGGTGCTCAATGAAATTGCTGAGCAGTTGGGTTAGAACGGATAAAAGGAAGTCCTTCTTCACCCAAAGAGTGATTAACACGTGGAATTCACTGCCGCAGGAGGTGACGGCGGCTACAAGCAGGGACGGCTTCATTAGATAAACATATGGAGCAGAGGTCCATCAGTGGCTATTAGCCACAAAGGTAAGCCGAGCACCGAAGAATAGATTCTTTTGAACTATGGTGCTGGAGAAGACTCTTGAGAGTCCCTTGGACTGCAAGGAGATCAAATCAGTCAATCCTAAAAGAAATCAACCCTGACTGTTCCCTGGAAGGCCAGATAATGAAACTGAAGCTCAAATACTTTGGCCAACCAATGAGAAGGGAGCACTCACTGGAGAAGACCCTGATGCTGGGAAAGACTGAAGGTCAAAGAAGACGGGGACGGCAAAAGATGAGATGGTTAGACAGTGTCATCGATGCAACGAACATGAAATTGAGCAAACTTCAGAGGACGTCGGAAGACAGGAAGGCCTGGCGTGATCTGGTCCATGGGGTCGCAAAAAGTCAGACTCGACTGTGTGACTAAACAACAACAGATAGGAACTCTCAGTCTGGGGCAAGTGATGCTCTGCATTCTTGGTGCGGAGGGGGGCAATGGTGGGAGGGCTTCTAGTGTCCTGGTCCCACTGCTGGACCTCCTGACCGCACCTGGCATTTTTGGCCACTGTGTGACAGAGTGTTGGACTGGATGGGCCATTGGCCTGATCCAACATTGGCTTCTCTTATGTTCTTATGTTCATTTCAGCATGGTAAAAGAAGATCAGAGATTATCTCATAACAGAGAAACTATCAGACCAACTGGAACAATCAGACTCGCCGTCCTACCAATCTAATTTTATGGGGCACTGGTTTCCTCTTTTGGAATTTTTGACCAAGAATGATGTCACACAAAACTCTATATTTCACCTAACCAATCTTACAGTATATTACTAGACCACTGAAGTTTCAATGCGTTCTAGGTTTCTTCAGAACTCTATTCTGGGAGCTGGTACTCTTAAAACTACTGCAACCCACACAATACAGCAAGTAGAACCCTAAACTATTTTATATTGTTGATGTGACTATGTGTCTGTATGCACCTGGTCATCATTCAGTATTACCACGCTCACGATACCGTTAATATGCTTGATGGTTCTGTTTCATTGTTACCTTGCAATATAAAAAGAAATTTAGAAAACACAACTACCTCCAAACAGCCTGGCACGGAAACCTTTGAAAATTGCTTCTTTGCCCTCTCAAAATCTAAAGAGGGCCGATAATAGCCACCCAGAGGCAGACAGGGGAGTGACCTCCGTGGGCTTATGTAGACACTTGTATTGAGAAATCAGGCTTGTCGGGATTTCTGTAATCACAGACGATTGCCTAATTAGGGGAAGGGAAAAGGCGGCGGGGCTTCCAGAGGGACAGAACCAGGAGTTCTGCGGGCGGACTGGTGATGCAAGAGCCGCCTCCAGGAGGCCAAAGGGAACCCGGAGGCAGAAATGCAGGTTCCGCGAAGGAACGGGAAGAGACATGAAAAGATGTCCGACTGGTTTGGGAAGACAGTGGCAATCGGAACCTTGCCAGGCAAAAAGAAGCCCGAAGGCAGCATGGAAAGTCTGACTCCAAGGAGGCGGAGAGCAGACAGGGAACCGCTCCCGTGCTTCATAGGCCCAGGTGAGGCTGGCCTGCAGCCAGTGTTCCCTCTAAGCTGAGTTAGTGCGAGCCAGCTCACGGTTCTTTAGCCTCCGGCTCACACATTTTTGTCTCGGCTCAGGAAGGATGGCTCCAGAGCAAACTAATTTACGCAGCAGCCAAATGGCTCGCTCCCAACTTGAATGCCGGTAGCTCGCAAAGTAGAATTTTTGCTCACAAGACTCCACAGCTTAGAGGGAGCATTGCCTGCAGCCCAGGTAAAGCAACATTTTTTAAAAATCCACACTGCCGATCAAGTCTGCAGTGCCAGTTTGGTGTAGTGGTTAAGTGCGCAGACTCTAATCTGGGAGAACCGGGTTGGATTCCCCACTCCTCCACCCACTGGATGCCCTTGGGCAAGCCGTAGTTCTGACAAGAGCTGTTCTTTAAAGAGCAGTTTTTGTCAGAGCTCTCTCAGCCCCACCTACCTTCACAGGGCGTCGGTTGTGGGGAGGGGAAGGGAAAGGAGATTGGAAGCCACTCTAAGACTCCGACTGAAGGGCAGGGTATAAATCCAATCCCCTCCTCCTCTTCCTCAGTGGCCAATCAGACACCTTGCTGGGCGAAAGCCTCACCTACTGTCTAAAAACAGTTGGCGGGGCATCAGGAAAAGTGCTATTCAAGGATAAAACTGGTAAGCGAGGATAACGAGGACTGGGTGGGTCAATTTTTCCCGCTTCGGGCAAGGAAGCAGGCGTGAGGCTAGCAAGTCCAGGGTGGAATTTCCCTGAACAGGAACCTGCCATGCTGGATGAATCCACCCACCATGCATGCTCTTTAGATCATGGATGTTCCTGGCATGCACCCTGGCTCCAGTCCACACTCTCCCTCTTAATGCTCCCTCTAAGCTGTGGAGTCTTGTGAGTAAAAAATCTACTTTGTGAGCTACTGGCATTCAAGTTGGGAGTGAGCCATTTGGCTGTTTGCTCTGGAGCCATCCTTCCTGAGCCGAGCGGTTCCCTGTTGTGAGCGAGCAATACGGCTTCTGCATAAATTAGTTGACTCGGGAGCCATCCTTCCTGAGCTAAGACAAAAATGTGTGAGCCGGAGGCTAAAAAGCTGTGAGCTAGCTCACACTAACTCAGCTTAGAGGGAACACTGCTTCCAACATACAAACACACACGCAGCCTTGGAATGAGAAGACACGTCAGGCACAGTGGGGGGAATCCAGTCCGATGCTGGGAACAGGCAGGGCTGGGCCATCCCAACTCTGCATCTCAGCTGGCAACGAGTTACCTGGCGAATCACTGCTGGTCTGATCTAGGAGGTGGTTCTTAAGAACATGAAAGAAGCCAATGTTGGATCAAGGCAATGGCCCATCCAGTCCAACACTCTGTCACACAGTGGCCAAAAATACCAGGTGCCAACAGGAGGTCCAGCAGTGGGGCCAGAACTCCAGAAGCCCTCCCACTGTTGCCCCCCCCCCCAAGCACCAAGAATACAGAGCATCCCTTGCCCCAGACTGAGAGTTCCCGTCTATACCCTGTGGCTAATAGCCACCGATGGACCTCTGCTCCATATTTTTATCTAACTCCCCCTTGAAGCCGTCCATTCTTCTAGCCACCACCTCCTCCCAAGGCAGTGAATTCCATGTGTTAATCACTCTTTGGGTGAAGTCGTACTTCCTTTTATCCATTCTAACCCGACTGCTCAGCAATTTCATTGAGTGTCCACGAGTTCCTGTATTGTTCACGAGTCCTTCTACTAAAATCCTTACCACGCTGCACTAGCACTGCAAATGTGAATATTGTAGACCCAGGTTAACTTTATCTGCCCCTCATTTCCCAAATGGTCAAGCACTTCCTGTTGAATCCACTCAAAAGCAAAGAGTCATGAACAAGATGCGGAAGGCCCACCCGCTTCCCATGTCGTCGTGCCTTCATCTAAATGGAGGTCCAAAAGGGCCTTCTCAGTGGTGGCTCCACACTTGGGGAACAATCCTCCCCAGGAAGCTCAACTGAAGCAATCTTTACCATCATCCCAAACCAGGTGAAAATGTTTGAAATAAAAATGGCTCCAAGTTAGTTGTTCTGCTTTTGTACTTGAGTCTGCAGGCCGCTGCTTATCACTGTTATGATTAAATGCTACTGAACAAAGGTAACAGCATGCTATGCTTCAACCAGTGCTACAATTTTGTTTAGGACTTGCAGTGTTTTACTGCTATTTATTAGCAGTCGCGTTTTACTTAACTGTCAACATGCACTACCGTGATTCTTACAGCATCTAGTTAAGCGTTTCCCTAACAGGAATCTATTTTATTTTTCTGCATTGTATTTTATTGCTTTCCGCATCATGGGTTTTATCAGAAAGGCAGGACAGAAACCGTAAATAAGTGAAGATCCACCCGGCTACTCACGTGCAGCATAGAGAGCAATTTTATCATTTTCTTTGTGCTTCAGGAGGTTCTCAGCGTAGTTCAGCCGGCTGCCTTTAAACCACTCAGGAACATCTGCAATGCCTTTTGAAGAGTCAACCACCTGTTAGAACAGTCACAGAAATACTGATTTTGCTATTTATACCCCACTTTCTTCACAGTGGGCCCAAAGCGGCTTACAACACCCTTCTCTGCTCCTCCGTTTTATCCTAACAACCACCACCCTATGAGGTAGTTGGTCTGAGAGCACACACCTGGACCAGAGTCACCCCATGATTTTTGCATGATAGAGCGGGGATTTGAACCCGAGTCTGCAGCTCCTAGACCAACATTCTAACCAACTCCTTCCCCTTCCCCTTGCCACAACAGACACCCTGTGCGGTAGGTGGGGCTGAGAGAGCTCTTTTGAGGACTGCCCTTGAGAGAGCAGCTCTGAAAGAACTTAATGACTGACCCAAGGTCACACCAGAAGCAGCATGTGGAGGAGTGGGGAAATCAAACCCGGTTCTCCCAGATTAGAGTCCGCGCTCCTAACCAGTACACCGAACTGGTGGATATACCTGAGAACTGGTGCAGTGGTTAGCGGATCTAGGAGACCCACAGTCTGCACTGGAGTTCATCAGTGACCTTGGGGCAGCCACGGGCTCTCAGCTTGACCTACCTCACAGGATGGTGGTGAGGATAATATGGAGAAGGGGGAAGTTTGTACACCATCCTGAGCTCTTTGGAGGGGGATAAAAGCGTATTAAAGGCTGAAGGACTCTGAATGGTGCCTTTGAGAACTTTGGTTCTTGGGGATGATTGGGGGTACTGTTATTGGACAGTTAAATATAAAAGTGGGGGGGGGGTAAAAAGTTTTAAATGTTTGACTCAGTTTATAAAAAGAGCAATGATGATAGACTTGATGTTACTAAGCTTGTTAGAGGATCTCCTCTCTTGGGTTTTTAGATAGTAGTGGGTTCTTTACTTTATCCTGTATGTGTAGTTCTCCCCCCCTCCCTTTTTTCTGTTGTAGTTTTTTGTAGTGATAAAAAATAAAAAAAAATCCCCTCCGGGAGCTTTTAAAAAAAAAAAAAGTATTAGAGAGACAGACCACTGCAAAAGCTTGGGAGACACATATCCTTTTAAAAATCCTCTTAAAAGGTGGGTTAAATATGAACCTTGATCTCCAAAATTAACATTTCTCAGATAGGCCACAGATACAAAGATTAAATGCAGAGGATTAATTTCACACTCACGAGTCGATTGGCTCAGAATCCAGCCAATTACTCCGCCAGAACTCCACGCACAAAATACTGGCCAACAGAATAAGCATAAGGAGATGGGGACATAAACGGTTTTAATGTGGCAGCAACAGACGATATGTCACCACTGCTGCCACATTAAAACCACTTCCGATCAATGCTCCCTCTAAGCTGTGGAGTCTTGTGAGCCAAAATTCTACCTTGTGAGCTACTGGCATTAAAGTTGTGAGCGGGCAATTTGGCTACCGCATCCTCCCTGAGCTAAGACAACAATGTGTGAGCCGGAGGCTAAAAAACTGTGAGCTAGCTCACACTAACTCAGCTTAGAGGGAACACTGCTTCTGTGGGGGGGGAAGAAGCCAGAGGAGACCCATCTTCGAACTACGATTTACAAGTTCCCCAAAACAGTAAGAACATGGATCCTACACTGCCCAGCCCAGCAGAAGGCTAGGATTCAAAATAAAATACACCAGTTTGGGAAGAATGCAGGCATTGTGTATATTTCAATTTTACCCCAACATTTCTGGGGTTTGGGGGGGGGCGGGGGAGAGAGAAAGTCACACAGGTATTTTCCACGGGGTTCAAATTTTCCGGAAATTTGACATTTTGAGCCTCAGGCAGGCCTGAGATCTGCCAGCAGAAATCCTTTTAGAACGCGTCTCAAACTGAAAGGCACAAAGCCTTTGCCCCACTAGCGAGCCACGGCTCACAGATCCACAACACTACTACTGTATTGCTGGACCGGTTGGGCAAATATGTACTCTAAAGTACTTTATGGTTCTATCGTGGCTGGCACACACACCCCCAAATCTGATCTTGTGTTCGTCTCCCCCTGCCCAGAGAGCGGCCAGGCAGTCCGGAACTGGGATACAATTTTTAAGGACGCCATCTGGGACTTTGGTTTTTAAAATCTGTTATTCTAATTTTGTTATTTTCGAATTCTTAATGTTTTATATATTCAATTTATGGCTTTCGGCCTCTGTTGTACAGAGCCTGACGCAAGCTAGGATGGAGTGGTTAATGAATCAAATTATTGTTATTGCTATTATTATCATCGATAACAACCACCCCCATCCATGTCAGAAATGGAAATCCATAAAATTTCCTGCGGAACTGCCAGCTATCAGAACCCACCCAATTTACAACTTCATCACCTGGTGTTTAAAACGTCAAAAGGTGGTTTAATGCTGGAAAGCTGCGCTCAACAGGCAGCCCTCCCTATCCTTTGGAGGCAGTTCCACACGTGCGAAGGATCCGACTGTTACCAACTCTGGGTTGGGAAATACTTGGAGATTTGGGGGCGGGGTTTGGACAGGGCTGCGGTGGCTCAAGTGGTTAAGACGCTGAACTGCAGGCTGTGGAAGGTCAGTAGTTCAGCAGTTCGAGACCTGAGTGCCGTATGACGGAGTGAGCTCCCATCTCTAGTTCCAGCTCCTGCCAACCTAGCAGTTCGAAAGCAAGACATTGCAAGTAGATCAATAGGTACCACTTCGGTGGGAAGGTCACAGCGTTCCATGCACCTTGGTGTTTAGTCATGCCGGCCACATGACCACTGAAACGTCTTCGGACAGCGCTGGCTCTTCGGCTTTGAAACGGAGATGAGCACCGCAACCCTAGAGTTGGACTCGACTGGCTTTCGAGCAAGGGCACCTTTACCTTTACCTTGGACAGGAACAGGACCTCAATACAGTATAATGCCATAGAGGAAGAGTGTCGAGCTCATTTGTTAGGAGGGCCAGATCTGACGTAAATGAGACCTCGTTGGGCCGGGCCACGTGTGTCATAAAATGTAATGCCAGGTAGTGGAGATATAAGCTTTATAAACAACACAAACACAAAGGTTTTTTTTTAACCTAAAATAAAATAAATCCTGAAGGTTTTTTGTTATCTTCTGGGCATGGAACAGTGGTCACTGGGGGCGTGGGGGGGAGGTATTTGTGAATTTCCTGCACTGTTGGATTAGATCAGGGGTATCAAACTCATTGGTTATGGGGGCTGGATCTGACATAAATGAGACCTTGTTGGGCTGGACCATGTGTGTCATAAAATGTAATGCCAAGTAGCGGAGATATAAACTTTATAAACGACACAAACACAAAGGTGTTTTTTTTCCCACTTAAAATAAAAACATGCTTAAAACATTAGCACTCTTGCAATATTTTGTTCATTTAACAGTGTCTGATAATTGACACCTCTTGCTCTGAATTATTGCATCAAAATGTCTGTGCTGTTGACTATGTTCTGGTACCTGATAACAACGGCGAGAATGGTGTATGCACAGTACTGGAAACAAGAGAAAACGCCCGAGATCTCAGATTGGATACAAAAAGTGTTATTTATGGCGGAAAAGGACAAAATAACAAGAAAGTTGAGTAACAAAGAAGATCAAGAATTTTTTGAAGACTGGAAAGACTTTAAAGACTATCTAGAGGAAAACTGGGACGTTGAACACAATTTATTGTATTTAGAACAATATTGATAGAAATGTTATCTTGTAATAGAATTTAAAATGTTTAAGCAAATATAAGTAATGTAAAGGGGAAAAGGGTCGAGCACTGCGGGAAGCCACTAGCAAGGGAGGGGGGAAAGGGAAACATGGGTATTGGATAAGTGAAAGCCAATGTTAAATGTGATATTATATCCAAAAAATAAAAGTTTTGTACACAAAATGTCTGTGCTTTTGCAATCTTGAGTATGCTGTTCAGGTGTGTATCTGTAAGCTGCAAACCTACGATGACGCAGCAACAGCAGAACTGGAAGAAGAAGCAGAAGACAGCCAGTTCCACTGCGGGCCTGATAGAAGCCCTCCGGGGGCCTCATCTGGCCCCCGGGCTGCATGTTTGACACCCCTGCCATAGAATCCACCCTCCAAAGCAGCCATTTTCTCCCGGGGAACTGAACTTGGTCATCCGGAGATCAACTGTAACAGTGGGGGATCTATCCTTAGGGAATCCAACCCTAAGGTTTGCGGAGAGCAGACCCACACTTCTCCAACTCCCATTCCAACAGGAGGTTACGTGGCACACCCATTTCACAAAACAAACATGGCGCTCCACTAAAGAGACCCCGAAACAAGGCTGAGCCGTCAGGTGGACAATAGCTTACCTCGGTATACAGACGGGAGAAGGTCAGACCGCTGAACTTCCAGAATTCAGCCCAGAAATCTGGATAGTGTTCCACTGACCACTGATACAGGTCATTGTAGTTGGCTGCAAGATAAGCACACGTCAAAATATTTAATCGTTATACTTTACTGTGTCATGCACTGGATTGTTATACTTCCGTTGTTATACTTTATCGTGGACTGTACATAAGGACTGTTTGCACCAGGGGTCATTTTCTGCAGGAGCAGAGCTCCGGGAGTAAAAAGCCCAGGGGGTGGGCACATGCAACAAGCCCCATCCCAGCAGCCCTCAGTCAGAGCAAGAAGCAGCCAGGTAAGTTGCAGAGCCCCCCCCCCCAGTCCAAAACAGTCCAGTGGCACCTTTAAGACCAAGTTTTATTCAGGTACCAGCTCTCCCTCCTCTGCGAGGACAGATCTGCACGTCCTCCCCCCCCAATAGCTAGCAATCCAAAACGGTCCAGTGGAGCCTGAGCGGTGGGTGTTGCCTTCTGACACACTTCCGGTGATGTCAGGGGGTGTGGCATATGCAAATAAGCTATGCTAATGAGTTATGCTAATGAGCTCCTGCCCTTCACTGGCAGTCTCAGAGTGGCTTACAAGCTCCTTTCCATTCCCCTCCCCACAAGAGACACCCTGTGAGGAAGGCGGGGCTGAGAGGGCTCCGAGAGAACTTGTGACTGACCCAAGGTCACACCAGCAGCTACATGTGAAGGAAGAAGAGAAGAAGAGAAGAGATTGGATTTATATCCCACCCTTCACTGGGAGTCTCAGAGCGCCTTACAAACTCCTTTCCCTTCCCCTCCCCCTCCCCACAAGAGACACCCTGTGAGGAAGGCGGGGCTGAGAGAGCTCTGAGAGAACTTGTGACTGACCCAAGGTCACACCAACAGCTGCATGTGAAGGAAGAAGAGATTGGATTGGGAATCTCAGAGCGGCTTACAAACCACGTTCCCTTCCCCTCCCCAGAACAGACACCCTGTGAGGTGAGCAGGGCTAAGAGAGCTCTTTCAAGAACTGGTCTTTCAAGGACAGCTCCTGTCAGAACTACGGTTTGACCGAGAAATACCAATAAACAACAACTGTGCACTGACCAACCCTACCTACAAGGTACCTACAAGCACCTACAAGGGTTGGTGTTTGGTCCAACTTACATAGTAGCAACCCTTGTAGGTGCTTTCTAAAATTTAGGAGACCTGGCCCATATAAAACCTGAATGATTGTTTACCTGTTAAGAATCTGCTAAGAGACTTACAGCATTGGCTTGTAGCTCCTGAGGAAGGACCTGAAGTCCGAAACACTAATTTATACCTAGGAAAAGTGTTGAAAAGTGGTGGACATCTGACTTCATTGTGGGCATCTTTTCCAGACTTGATTGTTATGAGAGATTGTTATTCTGGACGTTGTTCTTTCCCTTTGGGATATTATGAATTTGTATATTATCCTATGATGGATTACATGCATTACTTATTGTACTGAAGTCTCTTTTCTATTGCTCTTGGGTGGGTTGGTCAGTGCACAGTTGTTATTTATTGGTTTTTCTCGGTCTTTGTTTACTGAGAACTACGGTATGCCCAAGGTCATCCAGCAGCTGCAAATGGAGGCGTGGGGAATCAAACCCGGTTCTCCCAGATTAGAGTCCGCTGCTCTTAACCACTACACCAAACTTGCCGCATGAAGCAGCCCTCACCTCCAGCCGTGAACTCCCCTGTCAACTGCCCTCAGCATTCCATGCCTCCTAGAACATGCTCAGTCCAATTCTGGGGAAGGGCCACGGCTCAGTGGTGGAGCACCTGCTTTGCATGCAGAAGCCCCTGGGTTCAACTCCCGGCACTTACAGTTAGCGGATCAGGCAGCAGGTGAGGTGAAAGACCTCGGCTTGAGAGGACAGCCCCTGCCAGTCTGAGAAGGCAACACTGAACTCTTGTTGGTCTCTAAGGCGCCACTGGACTGAAATCTGTTTGATGGACCCAGGGTTTGATTTAGCATAAGGCCATCTCGGTCATTTGTTGGCATCAAGTTGCGGAGAGGGCTTCTTCCCGTTTTCCTACCCAAGTGTGCCAATCCACAAGCCTGGGCCAGGGGGCGAGGCCATTTGGCTGTCTTACTGATGGGCAAGTCTGCCATCAGAAACAGGGAGGGAATTAGGATTAAAGGAGAAGAGGCAGCACAACCGAGCAAGTCCAAGCAAACTAGCTGGATTCCAACTGAACAAAGTTTGAGTCCAGTGTGGCCCCTTTAAGACTAAAGGTCGTTGGTCTTAAGGGTGTCCACCGGGACTCAAACTTTGGCCTGAAGTAGCAGAACAACATGGCTAGAAGAGGAGGAGATTGGATTTATACCCCACCCGTCACTACCCAAAGCAGTCTCAGAGCGGTTTACAATCTCCTTTCCCTTCCCCTCCCCACAACAGACACCCTGTGAGGTAGGTGGGGCTGAGAGAGCTCTGAGAGAACTGTCTTTGAGAGAACAGCTCTGACAGAACTATGGCTTGCCCCAAGGTCATCCAGCAGCTGCACTGTGGAGGAGTGGGGAATCAAACCTGGTTCTCCCAGATTAGAATCCACATACTTACGAGAGAAGAGAGAGATTGGATTTATACCCCGCCCTTCAGTACCCAAAGGAATCTCAGAGCGGCCTACAAACTCCTTTCCCTTCCCCTCCCCACAACAGACACCCTGTGAGGGAGGCAGGGCTGAGAGAGCTCTTGACAGAAACGGCTCTTTTTCAAGAACACCTGTGCCAGAACTATGGCTTGCCCAAGATCATCCAGCAGGTGCGAGTGGAGGAGTGGGGAACCAAACCCAGTTCTCCCAGATTAGACTCCGCGCACTTCACCACGACAACAAACCACTACCCATCTGAATCCAGATTCCAACTGAAGGGGAGAGGCAAAACGGCCTCTGGAGAGATTGAACTGCTGTGCTGATCTTACCGACTGGTCACCACATTCATTCGAAGTCTTTCAGATCAGCACAGCAGTCCAATCTACCCCATCCCCTTCAGCTGGAATCCTGCTCAGCCTAACGATCTGCATCCATCAAAAAAGCCACCTGTTCCTATTTGTCCCTTTAAGTCATTACCTCTCAAATCTGTTTGCTGAGAAACCATTAGCCCCTGCCTGCCTGCCCCATTAAGGAGCGGATAGATCTTCCAAAAGAGAAGCAGAACCAAATGTCCTCCTGGCTGGCAATGGCCACTCCAAGAGTTGATGGTCAGGCAAACAACCCTTCTCGCTCTGTAGTACACACACACACTCCAGCAGTGACAAACTCCATCAATCCCGGCCTCTGATGGAGCAGAAGATGCACACGAGATACATTATGGTGCCTGCCCTACGGGTACCAGGGACACCAGAGCTGCTAAATTACCAACGGCAAACACAGCGGCCTAATTTCCTCCATGAAATGGAGGGGAAACGTGTTCCTGAAAGGTAGACATGGTTCAAAACCATCCTGAACTACAGCCACAGGTGGAGGCACACCGTGTGCCAGAAGACCACTGCTTTGAAAAGTGTTTGTACCGCAACCAAGAGGGAAACCTGGTCCGTGCCCACGTACATGACAGAGGCTCTAGCTTCAAGCCCCGTCCAGCCCATAGGCTGCGAGAGGAGCCAGAGGCAATGACAGAGGTTTATAAAATGATGCATGGGGTGGGAGAGAGAGAGAACTTTTGCAGTAGGTTCAGGGAGTACTACTTTATACGGAGAGTGATTAAAGTCTGGAATTCGCTGCCCAAGGATGCAGTGATGGCCACAGGAATAAACAGCTTTAAAGGGGGCTAAGATAGATTCAAGGAGGGTAAGTCTATGAATGGCCAGTGGGGAACATCCACATTCAGACACACTAATCCTCTGAATCCCAGCGCCAGGAGCACTGCGCCCTCTAAGCTGTGGAGTCTTGCTGAGGTTCCCCTATTCTGCCCCCCAGCTTCCCTGAGTACAGGTGGGGAAGCCACTGTTTTAAAGCCCCATCAGTGTAACAGAGGGGGTCAGCCTGGGTCCCCATCAATGTACCCTCTAAGCTGCGGAGTCTTGGCTTCCCCACCTGTATTCAGGGAAGCTGGGAGGGGGAACAGGGGATCCTCACCCAATCAGGTCAAGCGATTAGAAGTGTGGGCTCTAATCTGGGAGAACCGGGTTTGAATCCAGACTCATCCACGTGCAGCTGCTGGGTAACCTTGACCCACCAACAGTTACCTTCCCCGCAGCAGACAACTGCAGAGGAGCACTAGGCAAACTTCTGTGTTAGCTTCATTCAGGCAGGATGGTGGCCCAACAAATCCAGCAACTGTCCCATTTCATTCTCCAGAATTCCCTGAAGTGTGTCAGGGAACCTCAGGAGAAGAGCTGAGACCGAGAAAGTCTCATCTGTTGTAAAGCCATTCCAGTAGCAGTGAATCCTGAATCGGACCAACAGTCCAACTCCTGAACTCATGAAGCCGCCTTAGCCTGAATTAGAACTCTGGTCCATCAAGGTCAGTGTTGTCTACTCTGGCTGGCAGCGGCTCTCCGGGGTCTCTTTCACATCACCTCGTACCCGATCACTTTAACTGGAGAGGCCGGGGACTGAACCTGGGACCTTCTGCATGCCAAGCAGAGGCTCAACCACTGAGCCGTAGCTCTTGCTAGTATTTACTCCAACTGGCAGCTCCTCTCCAATGTCTCAGACGCTGAACTTTCCCGCCCAAATGACCCCAAGATCCCTTGAAAAGAAGTGGAGCTAGAAGACTGCAAAACACACACCGACCCGTCAAACTCTGGACCGTGTGAGGTTCTTCTGCCCTGGAGTTGAGGGCTGGCCGTCAACAGCTGATTGTCACTATTCGCCATCTCAATTTTGTAACAGAGGTTACAGCTATTGCTGTGGCACCCTAGGCAAGACCCGGTGTTACACTTCCCAGTTCCTCAGGACACCGTGTGCCTGATAACGCCAGGGCCTGGCAACCTCTTTACAGAGCGTTCCCCACCCACCCAACCCCTTGGTATATCTGCAACACCACATCTGTTACCAAATAACTCTTTCCTAGCCTGGACTGTGCACGTATGGCTCATAACCCTCCTGCAAGAAGATCCTTGAAACAGAGTCGCTCGCCATGAGGACAGACCGGTGGTCCAACACCGTCAAGTTGGGCGTCCCGTTTCACACAGAGGCCAACTGGTTCCCCAAGAGGGACAAGAACTGGGCAGCCAAGGTCCTCCCCTGATGCCTCCTCCTAGCACTGGTATTTAGAGGTTTGCTGCCTCTGGATACGGAGGTTCCCTTCGGTCGCCACGGCTACCGGCCATCCACGGACCTTTCCCCTGTGAATCTGGCCGATCGCTTTTCAAGCCATCTATGGGCCTATTCGTACGCTATGAAGTACGCAGGCTGGAGCGGAATTCCCCAGCTGATAAAACTGTCAGATGGGGCAGGCTCCCCTCCATTCCCACACAAGCAGCATCCTGTTCGGATTGGGACTGTGGCGCACATGGAGAAGACGCTACAGTCACACGTGCGCATTGCTTCCCCAGTCTGAAAGGGTCCCCCGAGAGTGCCGTTCGACACACTCGGGAAGCCCGACGATGCCAGCGGAAGAGACACCACAGCGCCTTCTCCAAGTACTCCACGATCCCAATCTAAATTGGGAACCGAACACACCAAGGATTCAGGAGAACCCACGAATCACATCTGACCGTTATGCAAGACGGGTTTCCTGACCCACCTTGCATACTCCTTAATGTGTGAATAGGCTACAGCAACACTCACTACCGGACGTTTTCAAGCGGAGGCTGGACGGCCATCTTTCGGGTATGTCGTAGGGGTATCTTTCGGCTAGGCTCCTGCAGAGTGCAGACAGTTGGACTAGATGACCTGCAAGGTTCCTTCCAACTCTAACATTCTACGGCTCTACGATCCATGGGCAGTGAATTACAATCTCATCATTCACTGAATGCAGGAACTTCCTTTCGTCCGTCCTGCATCTACTCCCACAGACTTCATTGGATCTCCCGCCGCCAGCAATGCTGGGGAACGGCCGTAATTACGACAGGAAAGGAAGCAAAGTTCCACTTTCTCCACCCCACCAGTCACTCCCTCCCTTTAGTCTTTTCAGCGCCCGGACCTGGATGGCCCAGGCTAGCCTGATCTTCTCAGATCTCCGAAGCTAAGCAGGGCCAAACTTGGTTAGTCCTTGGATGGGAGACCACCAAGGAAGCCCAGGGCTGCTAGGCAGAGGCAGGCAAAGGCAATCCCCCCTCTGAGTGTCTTCTGCCCTGCCTTGAATGGCCCAGGTTAGCCCTGTCTCATCAGATCCCGGAAGCTGAGCAGGGTCCGCCCTGGTTGGTATTTGAACGGGAGACCACCAAGGAAGTCCACGGCTGCTACGCAGAGGCAGGTGAGGGCACACAAGGTCTGCTCATCTGTCCTGACCTGAAGGACTCAGGGTAGCTTGTTTGGTGTAGTGGTTAAGTGTGCGGACTCTAATCTGGGAGAACCGGGTGAGATTCCCCACTCCTCCACTTGCACCTGCTGGGTGACCTTGGGTCAGTCACAGGCTCTGGCACAGCTGTCCCTTGAAAAAGAGCAGTTTGAGTCAGAGTTCTCTCAGCCCCACCCACCACACAGGGTGTCTGTTGTGGGGAGGGGAAGGGAAAGGAGTTTGTAAGCCGCTCTGAGACTCCAAGTGAAGGGTGGGGTACAAATCCAATCTCTTCTTCTTCTTCCAGCCAAGCGGGTCAGATCTCAGAAGCTAAGCAGGGGTCGGCCCTGGTCAGTGCTTAGATGGGAGATCACCAGCGCAGGTCCGGGGTCGCAACACAGAGGCAGGCAATGGCCAAACCCGCCTCTGTCCATCTTTGGCCTTGAAAGCCCTACAGGGTCTCCCCAGACCAACACCTTAAGCATCTCGGTTGTCCTCTTCAGCGCTTGTTCCAGCTCTGCAGGTATCTTTTTTTCTTTTCTTTCCTGAGCAGTGTGGAGCTCATACACTACCATCCTTTCACTGAGGGAGTACTTCCGGCAGCGTGATCTTGGGCACTGGATGCTCTAGTCCCGCGTGTCCCCTCATTCCCGGCTACGGCCTGTGCTCCATCTATTTCACACGCCGCCTCCCTTTCTCCACGCTGCACTCCCGATTCTTGTACAATGCGCGAAGCTCTCGAAATCCACTCTCTCTCATTAAATCTATCTCCCCCCCCCCCTCCACTGAGATTTGCAATCCAAGAAGCCTGGCTGTTGTACCCCTCTGGAGAGCCAGAACAAAATTGTCCTTTAAGAAACTGAGATGGGGACATGAAATCACCAGGTGGGCTTAAGACAAGCCACACAGTCCCATGGCTCAGCACTCAGCCACAATGTCGGTATAGCGAGATGGGCCCACCTTGCAGGATTCTCAGAGAAGCTACAGGGAAGAAACACACCCAAAAACCCACTGGGCACCTGAAATTCGCTATGGTGTATATTGTTTCGGAGAGGCTCAGTTCCCCAGTCTGTTAAGCACCACACCCAGTAATGAACTTGACATAGACAGTCAACATAGGTTTCAGGCTTAGTATGCTTTACAATTCAGAATATTTTTTTAAATTAGCAGGAGAACAGAGACTGTGCCCTCAAAATGCAGCCCAAAGATGCAGGACCAGAATTTTTATTTTAAAAAGGGGGCTCACCCCGCAATGTTCCCTCTAAGCTGTGGAGTCTTGTGAGCAAAACTTCTACTTTGTGAGCTACAGGAATTAAAGTTGTGAGCGAGCGATTTGGCTGCTGCACAAATCAATTTGCTCTGGAGCCACCTCTCCTGAGCTAATATAAAAATGTGTGAGCCGGAGGCTAAAAAACTGTGAGCTAGCTCACACTAACTCAGCTTAGAGGGAACACTGCCCCTCAGCACTGGAAAGAAACCCTGTTCCTTATTTCAAACACACGATGCAAGACGTAGAACAGAGGGAAAGACACTCTGTACACGCTCAGAGACATTTGATCATCTATTCTTTACTAGCAAATGCTCTATTAGTTTGTTTGTTTTTTAAGCGGCACAGGCATTGCCAATAATAAAATACCATTAAAAGCAGAAAAAGAGGAGGAATAAAATTAACAGCCCCTAAGAATGCGGTGGCTCAAGTGGTTAAGACGCTGAACTGCAGGCTGTGGAAGGTCAGTAGTTTAGCGGTTCAAGACCCGAGTGCCGCAAGACAGGGTGAGCTCCTGTCTCTAGTTCCAGCTCCTGCCAACCTAGCAGTTCGAAAGCAAGAAATTGCAAGTAGATAAATAGGGACCACTTCGGTGGGAAGGTAACAGCGTTCCGTGCGCCTTGGTGTTTAGTCATGCCGGCCACATGACCACGGAAACGTCTTTGGACAGCGCTGGCTCTTCGGCTTTGAAACGGAGATGAGCACCGCAACCCTAGAGTCGGATTCGACTGGCTTTCGAGCAAGGGAACCTTTACCTTTTAAGAATGTAAGAAGAGTCCCACAGGATAAGACAGAAAGAACGAAGTCCAGCATCCAGCAGTGGGCCAAGAAAAGGCCCACTCGGAGAGGAAAACGACGGCCCTTTCCCAAGGCCTGGGCTTTAGCAGGTATACTGCCCCTGAACAGAGAGGCTTTACTTACCTCCCACATTTACTTGCCACGTATAAAACCTAACCCACAATGGATTAATCTAGCACGCCTCCGTCTCCTTGCTATTTCAGCAGCCATCGCCACTCCCTAAGGCAGGGGAACCGTTGGTTTCGCAGCGCCGCCCGCCCCGACACCTCCAGCGGCCAAGCCCGGCGGCTGCGACCATCGCATCCTTTCCGGCAATGTAACGCTGCTGCATCTTTCCAGCCTGGCACGCAGCGCACCGGAGCAAGCACACGACCGACCGCGCGAAGAGATGCGTGTCAGCAGCATCACACCTGGAATAACCAGGCTGCCCAGTCCCGGGGGGGATCCTATCCTCTTGCAGCATCCCTATTTTCCCCCTCCTCTCCCCGGCTTGGACTCACCGAGGTGGATGCCGTAGTCGGCGGCCACGGCTGCCCGGAATTGATCCATGTGGGTGTTCCGCTTGGAGTCCGGTTCCCACATCACCTGCGCCTCCATGATCTCCAGCTCCCGGGACATGGCGAGGTTGGGCTGCGCGACACCTGACAGAGACCCTCCTGCTCTCACGGCTGGAACTTGACTGCTGGGCTCCGCCTCCTGGAAGCGGCTTTTAGAGGACACTTCACGGCGCCTACTCTCGCGGTAATCCTCCGCCAGGGAAAAGGTAAATGAGTGCGCCGGGCCCGCCCCGTTCTATGCAAATAAGGGTGGGCGCCGCCGCCGCCGGGGAGTAGGTAGTGTTATCCGCCCAGAAATGAATGACAAGGGAAGCTAAGCGAGCATGTTGAATAGCATCTGGCCTGTCGTTAGGGGGATCGGTCATTCATTCTCTCATTCATTCATTCGGGAACAGAAAAGGTATCATGGGGCACATCCCCACTCTCCACTACCATGGCCTCCCCCCGTAGGATTCTGGGAGTTGTAGTTAAGTGAGATTGCTCGGTGGAGGTCTCCCCTAGCCTCCTCTTCTCTACCCCCCTCCCCGACCTAAAGCTCCCAAGATTTCCCTGGGGACAGAGAATGACTGTGAAGCCAAGGTTAGGCTCACCAAAGAAGATGCTGAAAGTGCCATGAACAGACCTCTTGCTAGGGTTGCCAACCCTGAGTTGGAAAATTCCTGGAGATTTTAGGGGTGGAACTTGGGAGGGAGGGTTTGGGGGAGGGGAGGGACCCCAGAGCCGGATGATACCACAGAGCCCACCTTCCGAAGCAGCCTTTTCCTCCAGGGGAACTGATCTCTGTGGTCTGGAAATCAGTAGGCATTCCAGGAGAGCTCCAGGCCCCACCCGGAGGTTGGCAACTCTAAGCTAAATGGCAGCAATGGGAGACCTGCTTTTGGATGCCTGAACCTCAAAAACTCCCCCAAGGGATGCGTTTTCCCCCATGTTGGAGCCTTGGTAGTGTTTAGGAAGGACCATAAGGCTGTTTTATTTTCTAGAGTTGGGGGAGGGTTTCAACTTGGGGGGGTGGGAGGTGTTCCCAAGCAGGGAAGTAAATGGGCTGAGCTTACGGCTGCCCCGAGGTCACTCAGCAAACTTCCATGGCAGAGCAGGCACTCGAACCTGGGTCCTCCGGATCCTAGTCCGACACGCTGACGGCTACACCACACTGTTATGCCACGGGCTGTTATACGGGCTGAGAAACGACGACTGAGGGGGGACATGATTGAGGTTTATAAGATTATGCATGCGAAAGAGCAGGTAGAGAAAGAGGTCCTTTTCTCCCTTTCTCACAATACAAGAACTCGTGGGCACTCCATGAAACTGCAGAGCAGTCGGGTTAGAACGGAAAAAAGGAAGTACTTCTTCACCCAAAGAGTGATTAACACTTGGAATTCACTGCCACAGGAAGTGGTGGCGGCTACAGGCATGGACGGCTTCAAAAGGGAATTAGATAAGCATATGGAGCAGAGGTCCATCAGTGGCTATGAGCCACAAGGTATAGATAGGGGCTCTGGGGCAAGTGATGCTCTGTCTTCTTGGTGCTTGGGGGGGGGTCAACAGTGGGAGGGCTTCTAATGTCCTGGCCCCACTGGTGGACCTCCTGATGGCACTGGTATTTCTGGCCACTGTGTGATACTGAGCGTCGGACTGGATGGGCCTTTGGCCTAATCCAACATCGGCATCTCTTATGTTCTTATGTTCTTATTTGTGAATGGCCTTATTGCTGCTAGATATTTTACTGAAATGTTCAGCGCTGCTCCCAGCATTAACCGCTTTTAGTGCAGTGGCTAGGAGCGCAGACTCTAATCTGGGAGAACCGAGTTTGATTCAACACTCTTCCACATGCAGCTGCTGGTATGACTGTGAGTCAATCACAAGTTCTCTCGGAGCTGTTCTCTCAAGCCAGTTTGGTGTAGTGGTTAAGTGCGCGGACTCTAATCTGGGAGAATCGGGTTCGATTCCCCACTCCTCCACTTGCACCTGCTGGATGACCTTGAGCAAGCCATAGTTCTGGCACAGCTGTTCTTGAAAAAGAGCAGTTTCTGTCAGAGCTCTCTCAGTCCCACCTACCTCACAGGGTGTCTGTTGTGGGGAGGGGAAGGGAAAGGAGATTGTAGACTGCTATGAGACTCCTTTGGGTAGTGAAGGGCGGGGTATAAATCCAAACTCCTCCTCCTCCTTCCTTGCACTTTTCTACTGCTACAGACAGACTAACACGGCCACCCATCTTGGTCTGTGAGGTAGGTGAGACCGAGAGAGACAGAGCGCAAGCAGCCCAAGTTCACTCAGCATCTTCATAGCACTGCCGGACATTTCAACCTGGGTTTCCCAGATCTTAGTGCAATACCCCACCAACCACTGCGCCACAGCGATTCCACACAGGTCCGGGTGTGCGAGAAGGGACCACATGGGTAGTGATGGAGAAAGAGCTTTGTCTGCCAGTCTTCACTCCTTGAAGGAAGCGTAGTGGATAGACAGGCAGTATCTACATGTACGTGACTCTCCTGGTCTGTTGCCAGAACTGGGCAAAAATTCTAGAACTCTGTCTCTAATTCTGGCAAACTGCCTAGCAGAGTACATTTCTAATTCACACCTCTCCCCCCCCAAAAAAAAAAAAAAAATTCTGGCAAGGTAGCAACCTCATCAGTAATGCATGGTTGTTTGGATCCCACTCTTTGGAAATGTGACTGTTCCTTGCACAGCGCCTGCTGAGTGGCGGAGCGGGTGATTAAAACGCCAACTGGGTGCCTTTTCGTGATGAATTGGCATGTAAACATTTCTGGAATCACTGCTGGCTCTGCGAGAGCCCTCACAAAAAGCTCCCTTATTCTGGGTAAAGGGCGGATGGATCCCTTGCGCCAGCACACCACAGTTAGGTGACACAGCGATTGGCTGTTGCTCCACTGGTCCCACATCAGCCCAGTGCCTGTAGTGTGCGACATCGAACGAGCCGAGGAGAAGCCGACAGACGGCCTGGCCAATTGCCCGAGACGCGTTTAAGGAGCTCACCCTGGGAAGGCCAATAAGCTGGAGAGCTGGAGAGGGGTGTGACCAATCAGAGGAGGCACCTCGGTGTTCATGCAGAGGCAAAGGCGAGTATATATTTATTTGCAGGTCAAGACAACCGGATGTCAGAGGGTTCCCTTATCCCATTCCCAACAAGGTGTTTGCACTTCTATCAGCCTCCGGTTGTGGACACGGTCGACATCAATTGGACGGGTTTCAACACAGTCACGCAGGGTACCAGTGGGACAGCCACACCCCAGGAGGAGCGACTGATTGCAAAAGGGAGCGAAATACAGCACCAGGGAGCGTGGACAGATTTTCCTCTGGACCTAGGAGACCCTGTGTTTCAAAACAGGCCAACAGCAGAAGGAAAGAAAGTCATCAGACTTGGCTTCTGTAGCAATGTTATATTAAAACGAGAATGATAACCCCCTCAAGCTGCACGCTGCACTGTACTCAATGATTCACAAAGTTACTTAGATAAATTATTAGGGACTGTGGTCTATACTATGGATAGATCCAGTTGGTCAGCTGTGTTCCATGCGGCTTATTGTGGTACATATCATGAACATCGTCATGTTACATGTTAATTTGCTGTTCGTTCTCTGGCTATAAGTTTGAGCCTGCCATTCCAATGTATCTGAAAAAGTGTGCATGCACACAGAAGCTCATACCTTGAATAAACCTTTGTTCGTCTTAAAGGTGCCACTGGACTCGAAATTTCTCTATACCACGGAGTTCAGCTTACTGAAACTGGGATCCTATGATGTAATTTTTGCATCATTTAAGACTTAGCCATTGCCCCAGTTCTGTTTTTAGATTTCTGATTGGTTGTGCAATTCTAATCCTATTGCACAGTTTATTAAATACCCCCCCATGTCAATTGTATCGACTCACTCGGCGTAATCCACCTTGCGTCCAAGTGAGAAAGAGGAACTTATAAATGACATAAATAAAAAAACAAGGAAAGGACTATCTGTTTGGTGTCGTGGTTAAGTGCGCGGACTCTAATCTGGGAGAACCGGGTTTGAGTCCCCACTCCTCCACTTGCACCTGCTGGATGACCTTGGGCAAGCCATAGTTCTGTCAGAGCTGTCCTTGAAAGAGCAGTTTCTGTCAGAGCTCTCTCAGCCTCACCTACCTCACAGGGTGTCTGTTGTGGGGAGGGGAGGGGAAGGGAAAGGAGTTTGTAAGCCGCTCTGAGACTCCTTTGGGTAGTGAAGGGCGGGGTATAAATCCAATCTCCTCCTCCTCTCCCATCTAAATACTGACCATACCTGACCCGGATTAGCTCCCAAACCCTGATGAGCTCAGGCCAAATTGAACCTTTGTTCCTAGCTCAACAAACTTCAGGCCAGAGAAGTATTGTATACGTCTTGCCATTGGAAGAGACCTGCTGTTGGATGTGGGGAGGGGAAGGGAAAGGAGTTTGTAAGCCGCTCTGAGACTCCTTTGGGTAGCGAAGGGCAGGGTATGAATCCAATCTCTTCTTCTTCTTCTTCTTCTTCTTCTTCTTCTTCCTCTTCCTCCTCCTAAAATACACACTTGAACCCCCAGTGCCTCCTGGAAGGTTTAACATCCAATCACCAGAAGCTACTATTGATTTGTAAGTATCACTCTTATGTTTATAAAACATTTACTAGCTGCCCTTCTTATCTACAGAGCTCAAGGCGGGTTTACAATACAGATAAAATACACTAAAATAAAATGCAAAACCCCAAAATTTAAAAATCACAGCTTAGTGCTCCCAGTAACTTAATCAAATGTGGTCCTGAATAAAACCGTCTCCAACTGCCTGCTAAAGATCAAGAGTGAGGGGCCAGACGTACCTCCCAGGGGCGCTTCTTCCATAATCACCGGACTGCCACCGAAAAGGCCCTTTTTCGTGTACTCACCAAATAGGCTTCTTTGATGGATGGGACAGTCAAGAGGAAGTCTTCCTGTGATCTTAATTCTGGGGCAGGAGTCATTTGCAAAGTTCTTGCCCTCAGTGGAACACATACCACGTCAAATCAAAACAAAAAACCCAAAAGCCCACATCAGGTTTACTGTGAGGCAGCAGCATCTACAAGAAAACTCCCAAAGGATGCTGGGCGTG